CACCCCTCTTCTCTCTCTCTCTCTCTCTCTCTCCCTCCCCCCCATATTAACTGACAGGTTCCCCTCACTTAACAGCACAATGATCAAACATTCTTCTCTCTTTCTGTTTTTATTTTTGTTTGTTTTTGTCTCTTCTTTTCTTTTTTCATTTATTTGTACAATTATTTTTTTCATTTTTTGTGTTTTTTTTTCATTTTACTTTTTTTTGTTTCTTTTTCTTTTTTTTTCTTTTGTTCCCCCCCTCCTTTAGATCGTATTGTCTCACTTGCCAATAGTTAAAAGGTAAGCCTTGTCACATGATTGACGTGCCCTGTTTTGATTGGCTCTGCCTACTGACATTTCAGCCTAACCCACGCTCTCCTCTGATTCCTTCACCACGTTGTGTTTATCTCTCTCCGTTTCTTCCTCTGTGTCTTCTACACTTAAGCAGGTCTGCATGTTATAGCAGTCTCCGCTTTCTGTTTAAAAGGACTTGTCATTTTCTGCTCCTCTGTGAGTGTAGTTTGGTTAGAGGACATTTTAGCTCTATCTCTTGATGGAACTTCAAATAGAAAAATATTATCTTTTTCTTGTGCTCCTCCTGGTCACTTAATTAAGTTTATGTTGTGACTCTTGTTCTTAATTGTCTTTTAAATTGATGTAACTGGGCCCACAAGGAATGTTAAACAGATGGCAGTGAACGCAGCCAATCACTGAGAACGAAGCATATTGACAAGAAGTCTATGAACAATCTTTTATTTAGACTCTTGTTCACCTGTGTAACTCTTCTTTCAGCTCTGTTTTGGATTTTATTAACTCCCAGTTTCTGACGCTTTAGCTTCTCAGTGCTCCAGTATATTCCCCTGGTCGTCTCTGACTTAATATGTCTGCTGTTTGACGACAGATTGGTCAAACACAGTGTGTCGTTAGAGCTTTTACTCTGAAAGGGTATCCTCTGGGTTCTTTCCAATACCGCTAAATCAATACTCATGAAATGGTCCTGGTGCCTAAACGGTGCCAGAGCTGATGTTTTTTCCAGTTTCAACAATAAGAATGCAGTTTTTATTACTGAGGAAAATTGGAAGTTGAGTTTAAATTATACTTAAGATAAATATACAAATGTTAGGTAAAAATACGTGCTAATCTGTAAATAATTTACATTCCCTTCCTTCTTCTTCACTCGGTTTACTGGCGGCAGATTGCAAACAACAAGATGCATTTTTCCAGCAACTCTATTTCCACGTGAATGATTCTAGCACACAACCCGACCGCAGGGTTTGTAGCTGAAAAACCAACACAATTAGCTAAACGACGGTAAAACACTTTTCAGAGCTGATGGGAGCTATAGAATTGGGTGATAATTCTTTGTGGGATAATCACAATGATGCACTGCGTTCACATTAAGCTCAGTGGTCACAGAGCTGAAGAGTATATACAGGGGCCAAAAGACTCAAAGAAACGTATTTAGCCATAAACAAACAGGCCCATGGACGCAGTCTTAGAATAATTATTATACATAAATTATTGAAAAAGACTGAAACGCATGCTTCCTGAGTCGGACATTAGAAATATTTAAATTCTTCTTCAAGCTTCTTTATTTCTTGGTTTTGAAACTTTTCCGAGCTTCAGTTTTAGAAAGAAATAGACAAATGGTGACACAAGCAGATACCAAACTACGCTCAGAGGCATGGTGACAGTGAGAAATCCTTTTTATAACAACATGGCTCACACAATAATTCTTCTGTTTGTTCTGTTTACCTGCACCGTCATATTGACCTCTAACCTTCTGTATGCTCCTCTCTTCCTGGTTTTGGTGATCTAGCAATGTAACACTTGCTCACACACACACACACATACACACACATACACACACACACACACACACAAGAAAAGATGGGTAAGCAATGTAAGTCCTCAGATACACAGCTGTTTTGCTTTCGTATCGTTGCTCTTGAAATTAGTAATGTAATGGTGAGAATATACAATATAAAAGAAATAATGTTGTCTGTGTCATCATGTTTGTGTTGTGAAGCATTCTGTGTGTTTGTCCGTCTGTGTGTCTTTTCTGTATTTCCACTCCATTAATTGTTTTGGGTTGTTTTTCTTAACATCTGTGGCAACTTATTATATTTTCTCATTCATTTTTTTCCATTTTCTTTTTTGTCTCTGACCGCTCCCTCCTTCGCTCTCCTGAACTGCTCCTTTATCCTGTCGTTCTTTTACACCCTCTCTTTTCTCCATTATCTCTCTCTTTCCTGTTTATTGCCTGTTCTTTTCCTCTCTTTACCTATTTTTCTATATCTCCTTTCTGTCATTTCATTCCTTCCTGTATCTCCCTTGCTTTCTTCTCATCTCTTTTTGTTCCTGTCCGTTCTCTCCTTTCTTTTCCTCGCTTTTCCCTATTATTTCATCTTCTACTCTTTACCTTGCTTTCCTTTCCTCTATATTTCCCTCCCTTGACCCTCCTCTCTCCAGAGGAGCATAGTGTTATGTGCCTAATGGTCCCTAAACCACTAGACAGCTTTAACCTGCTCAAGGTGAAGGGGAAAGGGCTCACACAGAAGGTCCTTCATGCTAGCTGTGAATGGTATGCTTCATAGATAGAAAACCACTTGGCCTTAGTCTAGCTTTCTGGTCTAGTTTCCCAACAGTTCATCTTTAAAGTACAGAATAATTTCCATATGAAACAGTATTAGTTAAAAAGACTAGACTAAATTCTGGTTAATAGAAGCTGTAAAGTCAGATAGGTGCTGTCTTTAAAAATGAATTGGGTGCAGGATAAGTATGTTACTATAAACCATATTG